TGACGTAGAACGAGCCGTTTTAGGAGGGCGTGGGCGAGTCCCAACTTTTATAAAGAATATCTCTTTGGGTTTGAGACTTTAGTCTTTGCAACTTTAGGGATCTTATCTATTCACGAACAGCTTGTAACACTCCAAAGAGAAAGGAAAACTTGAAATCGCATCATATGACCCCTTTAAACATTGCTATGCATTTTCTAGGGTAATCTGGGAGGTTACTGGGTTGCTATTACAGGCTCAAGTCAAAAGAGCCCATTCAAGTCTCTATGATATTAATATTTTAGACATGCATTAGGTTCGTTCACCAATGCAAGGATTAAAAATACAAATAAATTCTCCTCCTTTATAAGCTTAAAAAGTTTAAGGTATCAATTATGTCAGTAGCACAATGTATAGGAGAAATGTGATAGGATTAGACGTTTGCTCAAATTCCTATCTGTGATTATGTGCAACAGTAATATCAATACCTAATCTAATAATTAATTGGTCTAACAGGTAGCCAAATCCCAATCTCATAGCACTGGAAGAGATTTGCCTCCAAGTTTTCTGATTGGCTAACACACAGGAGCCAGTGGTCTTGTGAAACTGCATACCAGCATAGTAGTCTTAATATTTCTGTCATAGAAAGATATGCTAAAAATAGTAATAGTACAGTACAGTCGACATAGTTTTGCGGCAGGCTTCAGATATCTCTTATAGAGCATAAATCACAAAAACACACCCACAGTAAAGTCAGGTGGATGAAATGCAATAAACAAAAAAGTAAAATGTGTGCTTGTTGTCATGCATAATCATAGTGTACAGTAAGACAATCAGACAGGTGACCACAGCATATGCAATAACATCTTCAGCAGCGGGAAAACCCGTTAAGCGCATTAACGCGAAGATGAGTCGCATCCAATCCACAAAATAACACACATTACACTAACATGTTTATCGAAAGTTGCACCTTTTCTTGAATTATAACTTAACATCATAACCTGTTGCTTTAACCGATGCACTTCAAGTTGAGCAACTACACGCCATTTCAAAACAGAAGGATATATATACACAGGTATGCAATAAAAAGAAGACAATGCAATAACAAGAAAATGGATAAATATTTAAAAGTCCCAAACACTTACCTCGCACGCACAGTAGCGACATTGCTGAGATTTTAGTCCAGCACAGCACAATTATGACTTGATCTGTGGCATTTGCCACTTTATTTCCTCCACTTTCGAGATGATATTTGAAGTTGCGAGAAACAATCGTAGTTGTTTAAATTCATCGTAAAAATAAGAGCGAAGTACCGACTGTGTTTGCAACGCGCCAGGAGAGCTGTCCCCATGGCGTTAGTGACATGTGCATGAACCAATCATCTTCGAGAAACGGAGAATGTAGGCGGGTCTAAAAGATGATGCGTCCAATAACGTTTTGTAGGCGCACAGGTGTGTAAATCGAGATCTCATACCTGTTCTGTTTTTTTTTCATTATTATTTTTATTTATTTATTTATTTTTACCTGTGTTATTATTTATATAATACTGTATATTTTCTATTTCTTTTTTGTAGTTTATATTTGTTCAGTACCTTTATATTATATGTTGGAAATCAATTAAAAAAAAAAAGGTGTGTAAATCGCATCCCACAAAATGTTTTTTTACAAAGGTTTATTTCTGAGGATTTTGATGTAAATGGCTCCTTCTGTGGTCTCCAAACTGAAGATTTGTCTCATTTATATACGGGGTTAACTTGCGACAAAAACTAAACTGGATCTGGCGGCGTGAACATGTGATGCAGAGTGACGTCATCAGGGCTGAACTCAACCCAGCATTTCTAAACATTTGGAGTATTTTTTTGTGGTATAATTCCTGAAATTTCATTGAAATATGAAAATGTTATTCTGGGTTATACACATTTTGAAAGAGAACAATCAGATGTTTTTTTATTTACTCAATCTTATTTTGTTTCTCGCCAAATATTTTGTACACAAATGTAAATATTGTAAGTGTAAGCCTTTCTTTAACCTTTTTCTGGAAGAGTTAAAACTGTATATGTATTTGATTTCTGACTCTTCCAATAAGAAAGCTGTAAAAACTGTGAATCTTTTTAAAAGGTACATTATTTTCTTGCTCCCTGGCATGTAGTATATTAATGTCATTCTGTGTTTCATATATTACAATACAATTTTAAAAATTTAAAAATAAAAATAAAAACAGGTGTGTAAATCCCTCTTTAACTCGCATTATTTACAACAGCTGTATCAGTATAATCTTATATAAAATAAAACAAACTGCCTATGTTTTTTAACAAATAGCTGCAGGTTTGAATTGTATTTAATTTAATCATAGATGTAAAATAATAATTAAACAATTAAAATAATTGCACTTATATATTGTTGCTCTTTTGTTAGTTTTGACTGCTTCTATTGTCCTCATTTGTAAGTCGATCCCACAAAATGTTTTTTTACAAAGGTTTATTTCTGAGGATTTTGATGTAAATTGCTCCTTCTGTGGTCTCCAAACTGAAGATTTGTCTCATTTATTTTGGTATTGTGAGTATACTAAGAATCTGTGGAAAAACATTTTGAGTATTTTTTGTGGTGTAATTCCTGAAATTTCATTGAAATATGAAAATGTTATTCTGGGTTATACACATTTTGAAAGAGAACAATCAGATGTTTTTTTTTATTTACTCAATCTTATTTTGTTTCTCGCCAAATATTTTGTACACAAATGTAAATATTGTAAGTGTAAGCCTTTCTTTAACCTTTTTCTGGAAGAGTTAAAACTGTATATGTATTTGATTTCTGACTCTTCCAATAAGAAAGCTGTAAAAACTGTGAATCTTTTTAAAAGGTACATTATTTTCTTGCTCCCTGGCATGTAGTATATTAATGTCATTCTGTGTTTCATATATTATAATACAATTTTCAAAATTTAAAAATAAATAAAAAAACAGGTGTGTAAATCCCTCTTTAACTCGCATTATTTACAACAGCTGTATCAGTATAATCTTATATAAAATAAAACAAACTGCCTATGTTTTTTAACAAATAGCTGCAGGTTTGAATTGTATTTAATTTAATCATAGATGTAAAATAATAATTAAACAATTAAAATAATTGCACTTATATATTGTTGCTCTTTTGTTAGTTTTGACTGCTTCTATTGTCCTCATTTGTAAGTCGCTTTGGATAAAAGCATCTGCTAAATGACTAAATGTAAATGTAATAAATGTTGCAGCTTTGAGACAAGAACAACGTGCAGCTTCTTAAAATTATTAATAAAAGGAAAGTTTAATTTGCACTGATTTAATCGCATTTTAACTGTAACAAACTCATACATCAATCTGTAGGACTTGATTTATGCCTGGTGCTTCTGTGGTACACTCGCGCCATCTAGTGGTGAGCATGTAAACAATACTGTCTAAAAATGAATTTACATTCACATTTGTCTCAAAGTAACCGTGAACCTGAACATTCTGGAAAAGCTTCACATCAGCGACGCAATCAAAAGCATATAAAGATGCAAATGTTTGTGCAGAATCTAAATTTATAAAATTAAATAAAATTAAATTAGAATCTATTAAAAAAATGGCACTAAACGTTGTTTAGTTATATGGTTTAAACTTAAACATATTGTTGTTAAGTGTATTGGTTATTTAATTTATAGAAATTCAGTCTCCAGCTCTTATGGATTTAAGTTACATGGTTTTCGACAGATAACAAAGTGGACATATGCAAACAAAAGTAAACAAACTTGACTAATTTAGCTCTGGTTATAAATTAATTTTGTTTGCTTGTTTGTTTAAAACAAAAAAAAAATGTTCTTCCGAATCATTCCACAGGACAGAAACCTTAGCTTTATTTGAACTCTAGCGTTATTACAGTTTATTTGAGGTTTATAAGTAAAGGTATTTATTTTCGATTAATATATTTTGGTTGCTTAAATTAGTCTACAAAATATGAATTTGCCAATTAATCGAAATATTATTACATAAACCCTATTTTTGTCAAGTCGTTATCTATACGTTTCCGAAGCTGAGTCAAAGGAACAACTTGCACGTGTACGGAGGCGTGGCTTGACAGACGGAACCAATGGGAATGTTGTTCTTCGAAATATATTACTATTATTCAAATATATTCAAATAGTGCATTAATACTCAACTGCTATTGGTTCGTAGACGAGAAAGCGACCAATCGCTTAAATGACAGCCCTTCAGCTGTTCGAACGTCCCTCCCCCTAGTTATTTTTCAGCAAATCCCGGAAGTATTGTTTTTAAAGGGACAGAATCATTTCATGGGCGAGGGCTTTGGACCAAGAGCCAAGCAGAAAATAGCAAAGGCGCCTGCCTATAGGACGTGGAAAGGAGACGAAAGGCAATCAAAACAGCTTTGTCGACATTCAGAAAGCAGGATTTGGTGTCCTCATCGGTCAGATATATCTTCGTTACACTGTGTACACATTTCAACGCAGATAGTTTGACGTCGATTACACTGAAGATCCTATCTGCTGTCTAAAACTGGATCAAACTCTTCCTCCTCCAGCTCTGATGGGAATGTTAGTTTGCTGACTGCTGCGGCCCTTGTCATTGTCATCGTTATATGTGTTTGCTGTGGGTGAGTTGTTCTCTTTGTGCTGCCATCCACCTTTAGATCACTCTCATTTCACCATTTATATATAGATCAGTCTCTAGGCTCAGAGATTATAATAGTATAAGTTACAACATACCTTAACAGTCACACTAATCAATCATGCATATACCTTCATACTCCAACTTGCACGTGTACGGAGGCGTGGCTTGACAGACGGAACCAATGGGAATGTTGTTCTTCGAAATATATTACTATTATTCAAATATATTCAAATAGTGCATTAATACTCAACTGCTATTGGTTCGTAGACGAGAAAGCGACCAATCGCTTAAATGACAGCCCTTCAGCTGTTCGAACGTCCCTCCCCCTAGTTATTTTTCAGCAAATCCCGGAAGTATTGTTTTTAAAGGGACAGAATCATTTCATGGGCGAGGGCTTTGGACCAAGAGCCAAGCAGAAAATAGCAAAGGCGCCTGCCTATAGGACGTGGAAAGGAGACGAAAGGCAATCAAAACAGCTTTGTCGACATTCAGAAAGCAGGATTTGGTGTCCTCATCGGTCAGATATATCTTCGTTACACTGTGTACACATTTCAACGCAGATAGTTTGACGTCGATTACACTGAAGATCCTATCTGCTGTCTAAAACTGGATCAAACTCTTCCTCCTCCAGCTCTGATGGGAATGTTAGTTTGCTGACTGCTGCGGCCCTTGTCATTGTCATCGTTATATGTGTTTGCTGTGGGTGAGTTGTTCTCTTTGTGCTGCCATCCACCTTTAGATCACTCTCATTTCACCATTTATATATAGATCAGTCTCTAGGCTCAGAGATTATAATAATGGAAGATGGATTCTTAAGGTATAAGTTACAAGATACCTTAACAGTCACACTAATCAATCATGCATATACCTTCATACTCTAAGATTAAAGAATGAAATGGTCCAGCAGTGTGATATATAAAATAGACTCCCCGGTTCTTTTCCACCTTTTGTGTTTGAAATGATCTCACGTGTGTTTGATAATGGCAGATTAATCATAGCCTGCACACACAATGCATACAGGAGCTCCTGTATGTTCTTGCTCAGGGGGGCGTTTCTGCTTTGTCTGATTCATGCTATTTCATCCACTGAAGGCAACTTTCATCAGTGCATTCTCATCCCAGTGCCTCCTTTTCTTTATGTTTTAGGTTTTATTTGATTGTTCCTTTTTGATTTATTGCATGTTTTGTGATTGATTTGAAGTGTGCATGATTCTGTTTCCATGTTACACCCCTAGCCATGGGCCCATGAATCATGCCTGGCTTTTAGTAGCCCAGTTTATTTTAAAAGGTTGCTTTTGTGCTTCACAATAGACTGCTGTTGCCTAAATGCTGCGAAGATATTGTGTTGTTCTTGTAGGCTAAGTATTATCAATGATACTAATATTTCACGAGAAGACTGAGTGAGTTTTGTCAGTAGGTGGGTGGGTGGGTGTGCGCACACAGGTTGCAGAGTATGTAAGAGGCATCCATCCTGCTCATTACTGATGCCAGACAAGACGTCAATGGAAAGGCACAATGGAGAGCTGCAGAGCGATTTCCATTGTCCAGAAAACGAACCGAGAACCGGCAGTGACCCAAAGTGGGCTCTTTCTCTCTGCAAAGGGCTCAGATGTCCCAAAAGAGCTGCAGGTAGAATGTGACCTTTTTCCATCAGTTTGAAACCTGAATATTAAGAGCTTCAGATCAGCTTCCTAATGCCCTTGCTGTGTGATCTCTTTCTGTGTGGCCGTCAGCAGAAGTATGTATTACATCACTGGGTTAGGGAAATGCATGGTAGGAATAGCTGCAGCAAATCTGAAGATAAGCATGTCAAGCTGGTGTAGGAAGCAAATGCGTGTTCAGGGTGAGGTGGCTTAGCATGCTGCGTTAAGGCCTGTAGCGACTCCCTTTCTGCAACTGATACCTGTAAATGTTGAATGAGGGGTTTCAGTTCAACATCTCCCCTAAATGCAATGTATTCTCGTTCTCTCATCTTGATGAGAGGGAGGGTGGTGCCGGTCCATTAACACTGTTCTTCCGGCGTTGCTTGGAGTTTGGTCTTTTTTACAGACTGGCCCTGCTACTAGGTTTGAGCTGTTTGAATTGGATCCTTGTTCTCGTATGAGGTGAAATAAAATATTGAATATGAAAAACTTAAACTTAAAAATGTTATCTTAGCATCTAAACATATTTATAGTTGAAATATTGAAATGACTAACAATTAAATAAAAATTAACCTCCTGAGACCCTGCATCCTCATATATGAAGACATTATATTTTAGTGAATTTCTCTGAGACTATACATGCCACAGTTTTAAGCCTGTACAGAGCACATTCAGGGCTTTACAGAGATACTAAGTGTTTGGATATTTCACCATGACCACCCCCTCTCCTTGGTCTTCAAAAATGTCTGATATTAATTTAGAGACATTCTTATGGAAATATGATAATATTTTGTAAGTATCATTTAAATCTGACTCATTTTTAAACTGTCGGTCATAAATCGACATCTCAGGAAAATGTTATGGGGTTTCAAATCAAAATATAACTTTCTGTTACGAAACAGGAGGTTGATTTTATACATGTCCTCATATGAGGACACTGGGACTAAAAGCATGGTTATTACGCATTTTGGGAGACACAACAAATGAATAGGGAAAGAAATTATATTTCAATATTCCTATGAAATATTATATATTATTATGAAAATCTTGCCAATGATTACTCCCATTATTGCACTTCTTTTTTCATTACATGTTGACCCAAAAACAAATTAATATGCAAATTACATACAGTTTGTAGATACATTGTACATAATGAGACAACCCGTTTATGGCCATTTTACGCACATGTTGCATAAAGGAAAATGGA